ATACACACATCAATTGGGTATAGAAATCTACCTTACCCTACAGAAAAGTAGGAGGGGAAGGGAATAAAAGAAGGGGAAGAGTGATAGAAGGTAGGGCTGATTGGGGGAGGGGACAGTCAGAAACAAAACACTTTTGAAGAAGAGACAGGATGAAAGGACAGAGAGGATAGAACAAATGCAGCAGGGGTGGGAGGGAAATACAGTTAGCAATACTGTGAAAAATATTTTGAACCAAGTTTCTCTGATGAAGACCTCATTTCTCAAATATATAGAGAACTGAGTCAAATTTACAAAAATAAGAACCATTCTCTAATTGATAAATGATCAAAAGATATGAACAGTTTTTAGATGAAATAATCAAAGCTATCTATAGCCACATGAAAAAAACGCTCTAACTCACTACTGATGAAAGAAATGCAAATTAAGATAATTCTGAAGTACTACCTCACACCTACTAGATTGACTAATATAGCAGAAAAGGAAAATGGGAAATGCTGAAGGGGATGTGGGAAAAATGAGACATTAATGCACTGTTGGTGGAGTGGTGGACTGATTCAACCATTCTATAGAGGAATTTGGAACTATGCCCAAAGGGCTATAAAACCTTCCATACCCTCTGATCTACCAGTGCCATGACTAGGTCTGTATCCCAGAAGACATAAAAAACAAAAAGGAAAAAGACCTATATGACAAAAATATTTATAGTAGTTTTTTTCTGGTGGCAAAGAACTGGAAATTGAGGTGATGCCCATCAACTGGGGAATGGCTGAACAAGTTGTGGTATGTGATTACGATGGAATACTATTGTGCTATAAGAAATGATGAGCAGGATGCCTGCAGAAAAACTTGGAAAGACTTACAAGAGCTGATGCTGTGTACAAAGTAATACCAATATCATAAGATGATCAGCTGTGAATGACTTAGCTATTCTCAGCAACACAATGATCCAAGACAATTCTGACGGAGTTATTATGAAAAATGCTATCCATCCCCAGAGAAAAACTGACGGTGTTTGAATACAGATTGAGCGTATTTTTTTTAACTTTATTTTTCTTGAGTTTTTGGATTTTTTGGTCTATGTTTTCTTTCACAACACGACTATTATGGAAATGTTTTGCATGACCACATGTGTATAACCTATACCAAATTGCTTGCCTTCTCAATGGTGGGAGAGGGGTAGGAGAGGGGATGGGGAGGAAGGGAGAGAATTTGGAACTGAAAGTTTTAAAAATGAGTGTTAAAAATTGTTTTTACATGTAACTGAGGAGAAAGAAAAAAAGAAAGGAAGGAAGAAAGGAAAGGAAAGGAAGGAAGGAAGAAAGGAAGGAAGGAAGGGAGGGAAGAAGGAAGGAAGGAAGAAAGAAAGTATAAAAAAAATTTCCCCATTGTTTATGAACGGTGTAAATAATGCCTTATTTAGTGCATTATTTAATGTTTAAATTATGTCTATAGAACTCTGTATGTGATTTATCACCATAATCTATTAAATTATATAATTGCTGGGGAAAAAAATTACAACCACTGCCACCACCTCCTCTATGGATCATGTCTGTTTAAATTTATACCAATAGCTACAAAAACAAAACATAACATTATCTGGTTTTAATTTGTTTTGAATAACATCTAGTACCATCTCATAAACAAGTAGATACTGCTTAACAATTTTGTAAATTTGTAAATTGTAATGATATTTCAATTATCTGGAAAAGAATCACAGATCTACCAAATTTTCCCTAGCTAAAAAACAAGGAAACACAAGGAAGGAAACCTGGTTTCCAATCATACCTCAGACACCTGGTAGCTGTGTAACTCTGGGTGACGCATAGCGTCTATATCACTCATATTTTTTCTCAAACATGCCACCTGTACTCTGGACTTCCCCTTGCTCCCACCTGAACTCAGTTCTGCCCTTGGGTCGGTGGGCTCTGCTAAGGAAGCTTTCCTCTTATCTTGTCTGGAACAAAGCTACCCTACCATTCTTTTTGGGGGGGGAGGGGCAATTAGGGTTAAGTGACTTGCCCAGGGTCACACAGCTAGGTAGTGTCACGTATCTGGACTGAGGCAGGATTTGAACTCGGGTCCTCCTGACTCCAGGGCCAGTGCTTTACTGCACCACCTACCTGCCCCCACCCCATTATTCTTGGCCATTCCCAACCCCAGCTCTACTTTATGTGTCATCTTCCCCATCAGAATGTAAGCTCCAGAAGGGCAGAAATATCCTACCTGTTTTTGAATCCCCCATGCTTAGCACAGTGCACAACACAGCTAATGCTTCACAAATGCTTCTTTTTTTTGTTTGTTTTCCCCATTTAAGCATCTAAAACTTACCTACTTAGTTATAGATATGTTTCCCCACACTGATGAATTATGTGTTCTCATAAAATCAAATACTAAAATACTTAGATAATCATTTTTATTTCCCCTCTTCCCTTCAATCCAAACCCAAACGATAAACAGCCCAAGCATAAAACTAACAGAATATATCACTTACCATCTTGTGTTAGGGAACCTTTCAATGAACAAGTCTGTAATAACTTCAATAACAACTGTAAGCATTTGTCAGTTTTCAGCAAGGGTATGTAAGCATTCCTTCCAAGCTTCATGAGGACATCCATAAGAGGATGCAAGATAGCCTTTAATTCATTCTGTGTTTTCTTCCTTTCACTATACATCAAAAACAAAATCAAAAATAAATGTTTCAAGCTAAGACAAATCCCATTCCACCTACAACTTAGGAAACTACCTCCCTAAAACTGCTAGATATTAATCTATGTTACAAATTAGCCTCAGCATTTAATTTACGAATGTGTGCTTCATATGTGGCCAGATCTTTAACTCTGGTCTTCCTAACTGCCCGTTTTAGTCATACTTTTCCCCCTGAGTTTAATATTTACTATAAAAGGAAAGCACAGTCAAATATATCCTATACTCATTTCCAAATTTCCAAATAAGTATAAATACAAAAGAAACCCTACAGCTAGTTTTATTTGAAAAAATAAAAAATTTCAGTTTTCTAGTATTTTTTTCCTATGAAGAAAACTTTTGGTAGCTTGAATGCTGATAAATTAGATATATTAAACAAAATCTTAGAACAAAGCAGCTCAAAAACATTTACTTCATTATTTCTCAAAAGTACCTATGGCCAATAATAAAACAATCATAAAAACTTGAATTTACACTGCACTTCCAAGTTTACAAAACATTTTAGTCAAAATAACACCATGGATCAGGTGTTGCAAATACATAAAACGTTTTCTAACTTAAACCTCTTCTAGCAAAAAAAGTTTAACCAATATAGAATTGTATTTATACCACAGGCTAGCAAACTTGAATCTTCCACCTGCTTCTGTATGGCCCATAAGCTAAGAATGATTTTTATATTTTAAAATACAACCTTATTTCTACATTTTTAAATACAACTATATTTTAAAATGTAAAAACCATTTCTAATGCATGGCCTAGTTTGGCCCACAGGCCATAGTTTGCCAGCCCATGCTTTGTCACTATGAACAAAGAAACTCTGCAATTTCAAAGCAATATAGTTTGGTCTGTTCATATTCTCCACAACATATGTACATTATGAGATAATCCTTTCTAATTGTATAAGGGTCAAAATTTTTTAAAAATATTAAAATTTTCAGGAGGGGAAAATGTCAGGAAATTTAAACTGTGATATTAACTTTGGAGATTTGCAGACAGTAATTCTGTACTTGGTATACAAAGTATGAGTTTTCAGCCCTTATCATACAAAATCAGTTGTTTTGGTAGATAGCTTTTTTTCTTCCATAAATTGACTAATTTGCTATTCTTCAAAATCACTTTGATTATTTTTGAACATTTTCTTAATAGGCAGACCAAGATGCTAGTCATCCCACCCACGATGCCATCAGCAAACCTAATGAGTAAACCCCTGCATCCAATCATCTGAATGGAATCACAGATCTGATTAGCTTTCTTTTTAAAGCAACATACTTACCTATATTTATTTTTCATTTCCTCCACATCTGCAGCAAGCAGGATCATCACGGCAACAAGTTTAGCTTCATACCAATCAGGCATAAAGCAATTTCCTCCTGCTTAAACAATAATATTTAAAGTTTGTAAAGCCTTAGAATCAAGTTCATATGTGAATCAATTACTACTAGGTTCTTTGGTTAACCTACTGACTTTTCTCATATGACAATTTTTCATAAACAGTAAGTACCATAGTATTAAGTAATATTAATGTAAAACTAGTGAAGAATTAAAGGTAACTGAAATTAAATATAGCAGAATTTTCATCATGACAGTTTATTTTTAAAAAAATTTGAATAAACTACCCAAGTAAATCTCCTAAATACACCAAATAGACACAAGACTATAAATTGTTAGCATATAATTCAACCAAAAATAATATTTCATACCTGTTACACTTAGCACAAGTTTAGTAAAGTAAGACAGTCTCTGCCCCTCAAGAGTTAATTGAAAACTCGACAATTAACACAACAATTCTGGGAAGTAATTTGGAATTAAACATATCATGTTATCTCTTCCATTAGACTGTGAGTTCCTTAAGGGGGGACTGTTTTTTTTTATTTTTAGGGTTTTGGGGGGTTTTTTGAGGGGGAGAAGGGAGAAGCCTTTCTTTGTATTTCCAGAACTTATCATAACACCTGGCACGTAGATGTATAATAAATGGTTTTTGACTATAAAAACTGATGAACATAATGAGTAAAGGGAAATAAGGAAATACTTATATAAATTAAAACAAAGTAAGCAGAGCTAAAAAAAAATATACACTTCAACAATGTAAATGAAAAGAATCACCACAAAACAATGAAAAATTAATGTTGTGAAAAATAAAGAACAATTGTGGCCCCAAAAGAGAGATGAGAAGACACCGCCTCCACTCCTTCACAAAGCTATGGGGATCCACGGGTATAGAACCCTTCATACAACGCCAGATTTTTGTTGATGTATTGATTGGTTTTACTGATTTTTTTCCCCTCTTATTCCTCTTTTCCCTTTTTTCTCCTCTTTAAAAAATCATTTGTTATAAAGAATGATTCTCTGGGAATAGAAAGAAAAGGATGCAGGAAGAAATCTAGGTGATATTTAAAACAAGTATCAATAAAAACTGATTTAAAAAATCTAGTATCACTCATTCAAAAACCATCTGCTAGGCATCTACTGTTTGCAAAGCACTGAGCTGGTCAAAGTCAAAGAGTATTAAGACAATACTAAACCTCAAGAAACTTATAATCTAGCTTACAGGAAAAAGTAATATCAATAACCAATTACAGTGCATTGTACATAGTAGGCAGTTAATAAATGACTGATGAATGAATGTTAAAAGTAATGCAATGTAATTTCACAGATCCCTTCTGGATAGAGCAAACATCAGGGAAAGCTTCATGGAAGTGGCATCTGTATTGATAACTGATGGATAGGTAAGACTTAGATGAAGCCAGGTACAGAAAGTACGACTAAAGTGTGAAGAGAAGAAATATAAAACATGTTCAGCAAATAATGGAGTAGTCTGGAACACAAGTACATGAAAGAGGCAGCATGGTGTAGGGAAAAGAACACTGGGCTTGGGAGTCAGCAGATTTGGGTCTGAGCCCTAGCTCCAGGACTTACTTTTATTATCAAGTGAGCTAGATGAATAAATTAACCTGAGTCTCCATTTTCTCAACTATTAAAATGATTATATAACCTTTCTATTACTTACCTCACAGTTACGTCAAATGAAAGAACATATGTAAATTATGGTACAGGAGGGACTGTGATAAAAATGACGAAAGGGGTACAAAGTATAAAATCACACTTAGTAAGAAGCATAGGTCCTTAGCACTGCCAAATAGTTCAACATCGGAAGCAGATATGGTTTCATTGATGGAAATTACATTAAAGAAAAGCTATTACCAGCTGTCCTGCCAGGACCACTGGGCCTATCCTGCAGATGAATCTTCCTATACATACTGCCTCTCCCTATCAGAACAAGTTCCTTGAGGGTAAGGGCCATCTCACTTTTCTATATGCATCTCTAGCATTTGGAACACTATTTAATTAAAAAATTTTCATTTTCCCCATCATTCATGTAAGGAAACAGCACTGGATTTAGGTTCAAATTTGGTTCTGAGGCTAGTATTACCTAGGGCAACTTTATGTAAGCACTTAACAGCCCAGCTTATTTCCTCATCTGTAAAACAAAGGAGTCAAGACTATATATTGAAGTTCCCCTAGAGCTCTGAATCCTGTTTTATCACTTTAGGTCTGAATAAGGGAAAATTCATGAAGGAGGTAGAACAGATGTTAGTCCCATCCCTGAAAAACACTGGGGTTCCAAATATTTTAGAGACTAAACAACAAGTCTAAAATCAATATTTTGGCTGGAAATAGCATTTTAAATAGACTGCAGAAATAGTAAATTCTTAAACACTTGATAACATTCCCCAAAGAAAAAGAATAACCGGGCCTGTTAGACCAATAATTCAAACTCTAAAACTTCTTTTGGGGAGGAAAAGGATGCAAAGTAAATAAGGGAAGTTCCAAAAGACTCTAAAATAGGATTTTTAACTCTTGAGAGATGTCACTCAAAAATGTACCATGTCTAATTACAGAACCTTAACAACTGGGTTTATAGCTACCATAAGGTATACTTCACTGTTAATCAATTTCTTTGGATTATCAATCCTTTTTTAAGTAAGTATAATGTGATGTTTGACCAAAATGTTTTGTCTGATATGCTGACTATATTTGGTAAAAAAATAGGCTACTCAAAAGTAATCACAAAAGATCTCTACACCTAGTTAATCTAAGCTCATTTATATCTATTCATTTCCAGAGTATTCTATGTGTCTATGATTGAAGGCAGATGTCAAAGACCTCCTTCAGTTTATTTGTAGAGTCCAAGAAGAGGATCTTCAAAAACAGCATCTATTTTGACCTACGTAGCAGGAACCACAACATAAGTTTTCTAGGGTTATTGTGACTAACTGCCCTCAAGAGCAAGTCTGGAAAAAAGTATGTTCCTCATGTTAAATTTGTGATAAACATTTTCAAAGTGAGCTGTGTGTAATAGAGGGTCACAGTTTCACATGTAATTTTCTTTTGTTCTACTCTGTATATGGAAATGTTGTCTTTTTTGGTGTTCAATAAGTTCAGAATAGAAAAATGAGAGATATCAAACATCTGGTGTAAAAAAAAAAAAGGTCTGTTACTTACTGCCCGACACAGACATGTTCTTAACTTACAGTTTCTCTTTCCTGCATTGGCCGCTTTGAGAAATCAGAACAAAAGTTATTTTAGATGCAGCAATTGGCATAGTGATACTTTAGCTTGACAATTCTATCAAGCCAAAATCAACTTTAGAATAGTACATCTTTTCATTCTCAAAACCTCAATTTAACCCTGCTCTGGGCTACGTAACCTACTTTGAAAACCACTACATTTAATTTTTGTACTCCCCAAGTTTTGCAAGAGTTTTTGGTCAAAAGCATTCAAGTTCTGGCCCATGTATAGTTGTCAACCTAGAAGACAGGGATTGGAGCTGTGATTTATTTGTACTGAAAATTAATAAATGAGGAAACTCCCTCTACAAATGCAGGTCAACATCTTTCCAGCAACTTACAGCACTGGAGCTTAGACCAGCTAGATGAAGTCAGGTACTATACACAATCAGGTCACACAATGTCACATAATCAGGATTCTGTCAAGGGGGACTTGAACCCAAGTCTCCCTGGCTCTAAGCCCAGCTCTCAATTTACCACCCCACACTGCCTCTCAGTTCTTAGACTGATGGCATTTGTTCCCTTTCCCTTTCAAGCCAGCAAAAGAATTTAAATTATGAAAGTTAATTTCCATAGGTCACTAGTCATACATCTAGATCTCACCTCCTTAAATTTTTAAGGAACAAACTTTGTTCCTAACAGCAATCTCATCTACTAACTTTACATATTTAATTAGATTTGAAAATGTATGGTATGCATTACAAGATAATGAAATAGCATCCCCATAAATTTAGGTTAAGCTATGTTAAATAGAACACATACTAAAATTCATTTACTATAAGACCAAAGAAAACAATCTCCTAAGTTAATGGATATACAGAACTTATATAGCACATGGAATATTGTATAATAGACAAATACTCCAGCAGGAATGAAAGCATGGTGCTATTCACAAAGGGTAATCATCTGTTAGCAAAGACCATATGTCTTTGATTGGAAATATCAATATATGAAACTATAACCTGGTCTGTGACAGTGCTGGCAAATAAAAAATGTGAGAAATCAAAATGTAAAATTCTTGCAAATTATCACTTATTCATAATACTAATGGAGTAATCCTCTTAATGAAAGAATACCTTATTTAAACCAGTCTTCATAATAGGAAAGCATATAGGATCCACAGAATCTTGCAAGATGGAAGGAATCCTAGAGACCACCTAGACTAATCTCCTCCCTACCTTGTGCATGAATTCTCTCTATAACAAGGGCTCTTAACCTGAGATTCACAGATCTGTGGAAAGATTTCAGGGAGTATACAAACTTAAGTGGGGTAAAAAAAATTACATCTTTATTTTCATTAACATTTGTTTTCTTCTGTAATCCTATGTATTTTAGTCTATGCATTTAAAAGACATGATTCTGAGAAGAAGGAATGCACAAATTTTACCAGACTGCCAAGCAGTCCACGACACAAAAAAAGATGAAGGACCCCTGCTCTACAACATCCCTAGCAAGTGAGGCCATGTATTAATTCCCAATAATGAAAGGTGTGTTATCTCACGAGGCAGCTCATGTCATTTCTGAACAGTTCTAACTATTAGGAAGTTCTTTATCTTAAGCCAAAATGTGTCCACTCTCCCCAGTACCTTCCAACATTCTGGCCCTAGTCATGACTTCTGAAGACATACCAATAAGCCAAATATTTCTTACATATAACAACAGCCTTTTAAGTTATGTGAAGTTAGTAATCTCCCTTCTCTTCTTTAGGCTAAACATCTTTATTTAATTCTAATTAATGATTTTGCTAACTGTTCTTTTCTGGATGTTAGCTCAAAAGGGATTAAAGAGAAATGATGATGACTTTAAAGTTTATCAATAAACTGTTAACGCTTAGATATACAAGGGATAATCTGTACAAATAAAAAAATTGGGGCAGGTAGGTGGTGAGGTGCAGTGGATAGAGCATTGGCCCTGAATTCAGGAGAACCCACATTCAAATCCGGCCTCAGATACATAACACTTACTAGCTGTGTGACCCTGGGCAAGTCACTTAACCCCATTGCCTAGCTCCCCCCCCAAAAAAAAATTTGATATTGCCCAAAAATAGTTTATTCTCAAATCCATTTTTGTAATAAAATATATTTGTCATTTTAAAATCCTTCAACATGCACAATGAAAAGCAAAGGAGAGCTCCTTTTAACAGACACTTCCTTCTCTTTCAGACATTTAAGGAATATATTTATAAAACTGGCCAGACTGGTAAGCAGACACATAGAATACAGTGCTGTCTAGTTCTCAGAAAATGCCCTTTTGGAAATGCAGACAGCAGCAGTAATGGAAGCCATCATGCAACCATCCAAAGATCAGTCTAGTACTGACATTTGGCCTCCATACTGAGCTAAAATAAGTTACTGCTACCAGTGAGCAAGTAACTGTGTTAAGCCCAGATTTCACTTGCAGAGACGGTTTAATATCTCTGAAAATATCTTCATTATATTTATCAACGAAAAATCATTCCCAACTTACTTTCCATGGTAGGTGACTTAATATAGTCTTGTACCAGGCTCTGTACATAAACACTTAAGGAACACCTGCCAGAAAAGCCAATGCAGCTGTGGATTTCTCCAAAGTAGTTCTCATTAACCCGTAACCAGTCACAGAGCTAAGACACGGAAAAAAATATTAGTTAGTTCATATAGTCATATATACGTAAACAGACAAATAAAATAAAGCCCTCTGATCACTCTCAAGGAAATCATAGTGGCTTTAATGCCTCCAAGAACCAGGGGTTTCACTCATATGAGACCATTAATGCAGATCACAATCTCTACATACTTTAGTAAGCATTATTAATGAGTTGCTATACCCCAAAACATTTATCAAACATTATGGACAGCCTCTTAAGGATAAGATGAGCCACTCTGAACTAAGCTCAACCCAGGCTCAAATGACAAACAGTTCATCATCACTAGTCTATAACCAAAGCTTTCTCAGTCTGGCAGAGGCTGCCAGAGCTTCTACTCCACTAGAATAGCCCTCAGTCTAGATCTATGATTTCATTGGTATATATATCTCAAAAATAAACCTCAATAATCTTGAAAATGGATACACAGCTTGAATGTTAAATGTCATACAATAAAACAATTAAAAGAGAACCAGTTATCTTTCACAGATAAGACTAGAGTGAAATGTCTTAACAAAACAACCAAGGAATCCTCCAGAGACTTCACTCCAGACTCTCCTCCAGGATTTTCACTACAATGCTTCCACCTAGTTAATAAAATACTCTGTCTTCCCCACCCCTAACCTTTCCAGCTTCCTTTTAAATCTTAGAATATAAGCACTTTGAGGGCAGGGACTGTCTTTCTTTGTACTTGCATCTGTATTCTCAGACTACCTTAGCACAGTGCTTTGCACATATTAAGTGCTTAATAAATACTAGTCGTCTCAAACTAAACCACAACATGGTTAATTATATAAAATTGAAAAGTTTTTGCACCAATAAAATCAAGACGATTAAAATAAAAGAAGTTGCTGATTAGGGAAAAAAAATCTTGGAATCAAACCACCAAACTATTAACAACCATCAAGCAATCAGTAAGTATTTGTTAAACGGTGACTATGTGACAAGCAAGCACTGGAGATTCATGTACAAAGAATCAAATGATTCCGTACTTAAAATGAGTTTACTTCCTAATTGGGAAGACAAGTACGTATAAAATATACACAGCATAAATATGAAGTTAATAAATAACTACATATGTACAAAGTAGTTAAATGTTATGAAATAATTTTCCATCTGCTGCACCTATCCCAGATACATATAAAGAAAAGACAAGGTCTACATGGTTGTCTGTGGACATCCAATGCATGTTATAATCTGAACAACAGATATTCTTCACCTACGTGGTTTCTCCTGTGATGATGGTCTGATTAAAGTCTTTTGAGTAGTTACAGATCTCTTCCAGGAGGCCCTGCAACACCTCATGGTTTCATGCAACCAATATGTCATTCATCAACAGGTATATTTGGAAGATGTTACCACCCACTGAGAAACCCACTTCAACTAGGACTCTGCACTGGACCTCTTCCATCACATCTCATTTTTATAATCAGAGCATCACTGAACCAGGTTATAATTGTTGCCGTATCTTTCAAGTAATTGTGAATGATTTTGTTACAACAGGGCTTTTAAGGCAGTATTTTGCTCTACTGAATCAAATTATTTTTCATAATTAAAAAAATACATAAGCACAATAAGATAAGAGACCTAGATCACTGAATCCTTCATTTTATGGATGAAGAACCTGAGGCACAGTGGCAGAGCAGCGGATAGAGTACCTACCCTGCAGTCAGAATAACTGAATTCAAACCAGATACTAGCTATGTTACCCTGTGTTAATCCCTCTTGCCTTAGCTTCCTCATCTATAAAATGGGGATGATAATAACAGCACCCACCTCCCACACTTATTGTGAGGATCAAATGAGATAATGATGAGGCTGACTTCTGCCCAGCAACGAGAGCCTTGTCTAAATCTAAATCGGCCCAGTAATAGGGGGCTCCATCTGTTGACAAAAAAATCTTGTTATTATCTGTGTACATGAGTAAAATTCCTATGGTTTGTGCCCATACTACATCCCTGAACTGTTCTGTGAAGTACCCAACACACCTGCCTCCCCCTTCTTAACATCCTTCCCTATGGTTAACTGCCCACGTAGGCAGCTGAATGCCCAAAACTTAGGTATAAAAGCAAGTCTCTGTCTTTTCTCAAACTGTTAGTGCTCCTAAGGACTTGGCCAAAGCTTTTGTGGCAATAAAAGCCCTCTTGACTAGAAG